CAATTTTTAGCCAAATCCCGTTTTACAATATCCGAAATGCCACATTCTTGGAATAAATGAAAAAAATAATTTTGTAAAAATTAGATGATGTATAGACTGATTAAGTTAGCAATGATTAAATATAAGAAGCTAAGCAACATGAATCATGCCTGCTTCTCAAGAAAAAAAATCTAAACCCGAATGTGATCATCATCACAAGTCTTCTGAAATAAGGTTTCCTACGATCGATGATGCCGTGAAGAAGAAGATTGAAGTGGAAGAGAGACGGATCACATTAGGTTACTACAATTAACTATATATATGTATACTGTGCATGTAGTGCTCTATCTCCTCCTTACTAGATCTAAGCAGTGCTGCTTACTTCCAAAAGAGAGAGTTTTGGATTCAAGCCCACATATGGGGTGTAATTTTTGCGAGGTAAAATAACTAAGTTACATAAATACTTGCCTTGTGCTGCTCTGCAATTTTGTTCTTAACAAATACAAACTTGTGCATGGGAGGGGTAATGAAATAAAGGAACTAAATTAAAAACCGTTCTCATCTGTTTCATCCCGTTTCATCATCTTTTAAAATTCTCTCTTTCGTTAAGATATAGAAGAGATGTTTTGAGACTCTATAAAGATCTGCACTCCACTTTTTTAAAGCACAAGGGAAAATTTATACATAGAGAACTGCATGATGACATTTTTGAAGTGTCAACAACAACTCATATAAAAAATGCATAATATTTTACATTGCACGGGGAAGGAGGGAAGATCAAGATCGATCTTGATGCATAAAATTAATTCTACAAAATTATCTGCACATATTATTAACGCTAGAAAACAAGAAGACTAGTAAGATGACCACATCAGTGCATCTGTATGGACCGCGCGTCTAATTAAACACTAATTACAGGTTAACTGGGAGTTGAATTTCCAGATATATTTTAGTCGGTAATTAGGACTCATCTCTCATGTATTTGGACCCCAACAACTCAAGTACATTACAGTTCGGAGGGATTCCTCAGCCTGCTGTTTACGCCTGCACTGACGATCACAGCTGCTGGTACTATTCTTGTTGTTTACAGCACCAGAAAATTCTGTGGTCGATTCTTTGCGGCATGCCTTGCCTTTAGAAACTTGGTCACCATTAGTGCTTCCTCTTCCTTGCATTGCTTGTGATATTTGAATCATTTCAAATGAAAGTAATGTTTTAGTAGTTGGGGTGACTTAGAACTTGGGGAACCAAGTTTCATATATAGGCAGAGAAAAGGTCATTAGCATATAAAATAGCTGCCAAAATTAGCGGAGTAATTTATTTTAGGTGTAATTCTGATTAATAATAAGATATGATTTGCTATATCTAGCTAGCCAAGTGGAAAATAATTCACATGACAAGGCTGGTTTGGGGTTGCTAAATAACTTTTAAAAGCAGCTTTTAAAAGAAGTTGATGTCTTAAATGTGTTTTGTAGATGAAACTAATGGTTTTTTTTTCAACATTATGGGTCTAAAACAACAGAAAGTATAAGTAGCTCTACACACGCTTATAAAAAAATACGTTTTTTTTGTTCCACTTGGCATTATATTTCCATATTCGCTTCAAATTTATAGCAATCAACAGATTAAGCCATTTTTTCTCTCTCTCACGTTGCTTGTTTATTTTGATGGATTCCCAAGCTATGATTCTCTTCTCATATACAATATATGATCCCATGGTGTATAACTAAGGAAATGGTTGTGGACTGAAATTAAAAAACAATAGGGTGCACGTTGCCTGCATCGACATTAAAGCAAAGAAAGGCATATTGTCACATGAGTGGAAGATTAGCATATACACGTTTGGCTCTGCAACTGGATAAGATTGACACCTAACACACTTTCTTTAATTTTCATTTTAAGTATTGGATTTTGCTTACTACTTTAGAAGCTAATCACTAGATTCGCTACCACTCCACCCCTTAGTTAATTGTTTCTCGTTTTGTTGATTCTAAAAATTATCAAGCCTACGTGGTGTGCAGACCAAGTAATTAATAAGTTAACTACGTCCTTCAGTTATGTGTGGGGCGTGCCAACTTGTCGGGCGGGGAGTAAAATATGTTGATTTGGTGTTGGGCGCGCTGCTGACTTCTTGATCTTGCGACTGCGGCTGAGGAAGGAACACATCTTGGCCTTTGGGTTCTAGAGCCTGAAGTCAAGACTATTAGTTTTCGAAGTTCAATATCAAATTCGGCTTTCAGTGTGCTGAATGTAGTAACCTGGTAACACCTCACTTTACTAAGAAGGCTAATAAGATGACATTTTCCAACAAGGACTCCGAAGTCCTTGTTGATTGAGACTTGGATAATAACCAATTGGTCTCGAAGCAGTACTGTTTATCCAAACTGAAGGTGCTTCTCAGTCAGCTGATTCTACGGCTCCAGTGATGTTTATCCAAACTAAGGATGTGTTGGCAGGAAAAAAAGGGAAGGGAAAAATCTCAAGTTTGTTGAGAAGTTTTGCGCAGGGCAATTTGTGTGTTGATTTGAATGGGGCTTTTTCGATGCACAAAGTCTTGTATTTATAGGGTTGGTATTTGCTTGGCACGACCTGATGGTGTTCAACTGCAACTCAAACTATAGGAAGAAAGACTGATCCGTATCTATCATTCCCATTCGTGACTTTTCAAACAAAATAAAAACCTATTTCATATCAGAAGCCTAGCCCACCTAGGCTTCTTATCTCATCATCAAAACTCCATCAATGGCCTTTAACTCATCTGACAACATCCATCATCATGTAAAAAGGCCTAGCCTACCTAGGCTTCTTATCTCATCACTATCCAAGACCATCAAATCCTAGGCTATGCCACATGATAAGAGTCCTAGGCCGAACTACTCTAATCCACACGGTACACTGCTAACAAATCCAAATTAAATTGGACTGTTCTGCTTGCTTCTAAGTTAGGGCTTTGATTTGGATCCCATCTATTTTGTGCAAGAAAATCAAGAAAATTTATTAAAAGATAATTACTATGATTAAAAACCATAATATTATCTCTTAATAATAATAAAATTATCTTAACTTTCTTATTTGACGGTGAAGAACCATACTCACTCAATGGCCTTGATTACTCGGACCAATGATGTAAAATCGGGTCCAAACCTGTTTCAATATTAGGAGACTCAAAATTTGGATACCAACTCTTTTTTATCCAAAGGATAAAAAAATTAAAAATAAAAACTTAAGGTTTAAAGATGTGATGATTATTATAGGAGAAGCTTTTATACTTGGAACGTATTTTGGAGGGCTAAAAGTACTTTTAGATAATCAATAACGACTTTAACGGCATATGAAAAAAAAAGTTTAATGTCTCTCTAAATTCTAAAAACATTTTCCTTAAGAAGCATTTTCAAGTGTTTTTCAACAAGCACTCAAATTTAAAATAATAATAATAATACACTTTTGATAAAACAGCTTTTGAGCTGAATGTTTTAGCGAAAAAAATGTTTTCAAGCATGCTTAGTTAGTGTTGTGATTTACGATTCAAAGCTAGAGTGTTGGATACTAACCTGAAAGCAGTGATCAACCGGACGATCAATCGAAAGAAGCAGCATCGAAAGTTTCAGACCGTTGCGACGTTCGGTAGTGGCAGCCGATCGGTCGTATGGGCAGAACGTTTCGTTGCATGTGTTTCCTAGTTCATTTTGAAGTCCTATTTGGGCTGAATTTTTCACTTTTTGGTTGGATTCCTTTTTTGGTGGAGAGATTTTATTAATTACCTATTTGGTTAGGTTTTGTATTTACTTCTAATTAAGATTAATATTCTTATTGTAACTTAAGTTCTATACTCCATAAATAGGACCTTAAGATTACTAGTGTGTGCCTCTCCATGAGTGTAGAAAGTTTTATCTAATTGGTTTTTGGTGGAGTTCATTGTTTTGAGTCATGAATGTGTGGCAAATTCATGGCTCATTCATTTGCCAATTTGGTAAGAGTCAATTTGTGAGTTTGAGAGTCGGAGAACAATTTGGAAGATTCTTCTCTGTTTGTTTTGGGTTCTCTACTTGTGTGGTTTAGAGTTAGTAGTTTGTGGGATTTGGGTTATGAGAATTAAACACTATTTTGTAATCTCTATTTGTTTTTTAGTGAAATTCTTCACCGTGCTTTGCCTATGGATGTAGGCTTCACGCTGCACCACATTTATATCTTGTGTTATTATTTTGAGATTGTTTGTTTCTTCACTTTCGCCTTCGACGTTGATATTTGATACTTTGTTTCAATTCTCTTTCGCTTGCGCATAAAGTACAACAGGCAGGAACTGATCAAGTTACTTATTTTAAGGAAAATTAATGAAAAGGCTTGAAAACTTTGAGTTTTAAAGATAAGGACAAAAAATAAAGAAAAAAAAGTAAAGTGAATAGTACCAAGATTGACTTTTTAGTGTAAAAATATAGTTTTTCATTAAAGTAAACAATACCGGAAGTTTTTCATTAAAATTCTCCTTATTTTATTATCAATCTCCCACCAACTAAGTTTTAATTAGCATTGGAAGAAATCTCAAAGTCAAATCTTTCTTCCCCAAACGATAAAAAATGGAGGAGATACTACCACATTCCACTAAATACTAGGAATGGTTCTAGTCCCCATAGTTTGAACAAAATTTCACTTCGGTTCTAGTAGTTTCAATTCTCGCAATTTCAATTTCTATAGTTTATTAATTTTTGTTGTCAGGGACAATACTGTAATTGTGGTTTTGTTGGTTACTACTACTTATGTGACATATGTAAAGGTAAATTAACTTGTTTCTTTTAAATCGCACCAAGTAAAACTACAAAAATAAAAGTGAAACTTTGCTTAAACTACAAGAATCAAAAAATAGTTCGACCCATAAATCAACGTGGCCCAGTCCAAGAAAATCCAACCCGGCCCATCACTATTTCTCTCCTTTGGATACTTACGCCGAACACCACTTGGCACAAACTTACTGGCTCTCAAATCCCTTCAAACACTTGGATAAGCCCTTGTTTTCGTGGACCTCTGTCTCTCTCACACTTGATTTATAATTACACTCGGAAAACCCACGAAATTTTCTCTCCCTCTCCGCTATGCTCATAATTTTCCCGGAAATTTTCCAGCTTTAGATTCTCTCTCCCTCTTGCTCCAATGGCGGCCGTTGCTTCTCTGTCTTTTTCGGCGCTCAGTCAATGCTCTGATAGAAAATCGGTCGTCTCGCCCGCTCGCAATTTGGGTTCCAACGCCGAAGGCATTCGATTCCGTACGAGCATTTCCAGCCATTACGGTGGAATTCGAGCTTCGAGTTGGAGCTCTCGCATGGTGGTTCATTGCATGGCAGGGTCGTCAGGTGGGTTTTTCTTGGTAGCTTGTTTTATGTCATTTAATCGTTTAAATTTGCTACATTTTCTCAGGAACTTGACTGGAGCTTCATTTAATATGTTTTGTGCCAAAAAGCTTTTGTTTTTTTAATATCGTGCATTTAACAATGTTTAAAGTATAATTAAGTTTGATCTAATTAGATGTAATTCACTTATTTCATTTCCAAAGTTTGGTCTTTTTTGTATTTTTGGCAAGACAAGATAATTACATTAAATTCATCTAAACAACGAACAGGTGTTTATGAGCAGGGAATGAGGATCCTCTCCGGATCATATTTGTGAGGATTTGAGATCCTTAAATCATATATGTTCATTGTACATCGTATCATCAGAAATCATTTTAAATATTTTTATTTAAAATTAAATATGAATATTATCTAACCAAAACTGAACGCACGTACGATGAACATACAATTTGAGGATCCAAAGATCCTCACAAAGAGGATCCGGGTGAGGATCCTCATTCATGAGCATGGCTAAACTTATGTCTGCAAATTATGATCTTTTTTGTTAAAAGTAGGAATTTTGACTTACAGATGTGGAAGGGGAGGATTTTTGTTAATAATTTTATGTAATCATGTGAAATAAGAATAATGGGCCCTTATTGTATCAGATTGTATATTAGTGTAAGTTTTCTGCTTAACATTTTTGGTCATTATGTGATTTGCTTGCTTGATTTGCAGATAGTCCGACTGTGGCGGATACAAAGTTGAATTTTTTGAAGGCGTATAAGCGACCAATCCCTAGCGTTTACAACAGTGTGCTACAGGAGCTGATTGTCCAGCAACATTTGATGAAGTACAAGAGGACATACCGGTATGATCCTGTGTTTGCTCTTGGTTTTGTCACTGTATACGATCAACTCATGGATGGATATCCCAGCGATGAGGATCGAGAGGCAATCTTCCAAGCGTACATTAAAGCTTTAAATGAGGACCCGGAGCAATACAGGTTTGTCACTTGTGTTTTATCTTCTTTAGGGATTCATTTTCTCTGTTTTGTGGCCTTGCATAACATTTCGAAATGCAGCAATATGGTATGTAAATTGTGATGATCACATATTATGAGATTTAAAAAAAAAATATGAAAGTGGAGTAAAATTTAAGTGGCTAATTGAGATTGTGATATTGCAATTCATTCCTTTATGTGATAACTAAGGAAAATCCCGTTAAGAACAGATTTTCTTTTCCAGTCATCAGAATCATGCCAACTTAATAGTTCTACACCAGAATTTCCTAGTTTATGGAAGAAGGTTGATTAATAAAATAATGTGTGACTCTAGAAAATTACTGGTCATTAGATGCTTTAGAAAAAAGGAAAAACGAATCCTAATTTGCATATGATCAATCTCTTTCTTATATGTTTGAGAAAGGTCTCGATCTTTACTAGATAAGTTTCCATGCTAAGCACTACAGAACTGATGCACAAAAGTTGGAAGAGTGGGCTCGGGCACAAACTTCCAGTTCATTAGTGGAGTTTCCATCCAGAGAAGGAGAAGTTGAGGCAGCACTGAAGGACATTGCAGAAAGGGCAGCAGGCAAAGAAAGTTTTAGCTACAGTCGTTTCTTTGCTATTGGGCTTTTTCGTCTTCTTGAGGTGGCAAAAGCAACTGAACCAACAGTATTAGAAAAGGTTAGACTTTCCAAGCCTATGAACATTTTGAATAATGATGGATATTCGGCCAAGTGATTTGGTTACTGCATTTTGAACTTTTTGGGTTAATGACTGTTGGATTAAATTATTGAATGGCCTTCCATGATGGTAGCAATGTTGGATCATTTACACTTTGGTTTCTATCCAACAGTTATGTGCAGCCTTAAACATTGACAAAAGAAGTGTGGACCGGGACCTTGATGTGTACCGCAATCTGCTTTCCAAGCTGGTTCAGGCCAAAGAACTGCTAAGGGAATATGTGGCCAGGTAACAAATCCCTCAGGATCATGGGAGTTATTGAATTCATAGCATTACATGTGATAGATAAGATAGACATGATGATAATCCTCAAATCAGACTGATGTGAGTTCAGATGACATCCACAAATTGAAAGCTTTAACACCAAACCAGTTGATCCCCTATACGTTAACCGAAAACTCATGGCTTTAGTTCGCTTATCTATAGCTTGGGTATAATTTATGGATTTTGGGTTTTTCTTGTTTTACAACCGGAAGTACTGTATGGTTCAAGGATGGAGAAGCTTTTGTGCTTACTGCTTTACATCATATTTGAATGCATTGAATTTGGCTTTCAGGGAGAAGAAGAAAAGAGAAGAAAGGGCGGAAACACAAAAGGCCAGTGAAACGGTTACGAAATGTTTGGGGGATTATGTTTGCCAGTAATCGGAGTGGTCCTTCAAAGCTGATCACTCTCTGCGAAGCTGAAGATCCCCAAATCTTTAAGGTTTTTGAGGTAGAGTTGGAGTTTTTACGCTTAGGCACATACCTTTCATCAGCTTGTACGCTTGCAGTTTTAGCATATTGCTTGCAGTGGTGATCCAGCAACAGCCCATGTACCGACGTGTCTTAAATATTTGTTTCTCATCGGTTATCTTTTGTAACTACAATTCTCGATTTGGAATATTTGGATCGAGTTCCCCATAGTAAAGCTAATTTTCATTGTTTCTCTGTGTCTTTCTCGATATGATAACTTCCTCTCAAATACGGCGTTAGTGCAGTAACCAATTCTCGATTTACTTCAACACTTCTGAGTTAAAAGAATTATTTGCATTCATCCACAAATCAATCATGTACAGGTAGATAACAATGGGGTTACTAAGTAAGAACCCTAGAAAGCAATTCGTCACAAAACAATGAACCGATAGAAAGATCTTCTATGGCTTCCTGCTAGAAATGTTACTAAGCTAAGATGTTAATGAAATTCCAAAAGAAATCTCACTCGTTAATAGGGGAATTTGGACTGGGACTGAGAAAGGAACAACTTAATAAGAAGTTAACTGAGATGCGAAATATCAATCTCTTCGGGGAGCTTAAATGTGTCTGCTGCACCAAACTTCCTATACTCTGCTGATTCATGAGTTTCTTCATCATCCCAATCATCTTCCTCATTTCCCTGGCCGCTAGGTGACTCAGGATTGTAAACGCTTTTAGACCTGCAGCCATGTCGAGCAAGAATGTTCACCTGGCGAAGGTGAGAGATTTCAACCATGACGGTTTCATCGTCAACTGGGAGGGTTTGCTTCCAGGGTTCCCCGTCGATCCTCATGTACGTATGATCAATTGCACCCTTGTGAAACTCAAAGCGAATACGGTGGGCCTATCGTCGATAAGAAATAATAGACAGTATAAATACCAAATGCTGGACGGTACAAGTTATTTATGAACCTAAATTCAGCTTCTTGATCAAATACCTGGGCAAGACGAGTCCCATGTCCCTTTGCAAGCAAAACAAGCCCATGCCATGCATCTCGAAAACCAACGACTTCAATGAGACCATCGTCTACATATGCTGGAGTAAAACCTCCCTGTAAAGTCATAATCCACCAAAATATGTTGTTAGATTTGAGAAAAACCAATACAAAGATCATTTCAACTATTTCTGTGAAAAAACAAAATAAAGAAAAATAATAGGAGAAAAGCGGGAGTGTTGTGAACCTACATTACGCCTCTTCCTAATTGGGACTCCCCAAGGATTAAAACCACCAGAAAAGCTAGGCAAATTGAGGATCACGATTGACTTGATACTGTTCAATGAAACGGAGAGGTTAGCAAAGCATAATTGGATATTATTTGCGAGAGAAATCAAATGGAAACAACATCAAGTACCAAAGAGAAGGAAAAATATACTAAACCAATATTATCCTTGTGCAATGTTCACCTTTTGAAACTAAACAAGGAATAAATCAACTAGATCGGAAGAAGAAAACTCTAAATAAGTTTAATTATCTCTGCAGAACCACCGGAGTTGAACTAGTGTGTACGGAAAAGAAGATTGCAACAAAGTAAAGATTTCTGAAATCTGGATTTCATGCTTTGGTGTTCAATCCATGATGTTGGCAGATAATCTGAGCAGATTGCTACCGAAATAGATGCATATCAAAACACCAGAGACTCATGGGAATTATCTCTAACATTGTGCGCAAGTGAAATCTGCACACGATGGGAGGCTCGATATGGATAGTGTTTTCCAGCATAAAAAAGATTACTGGGGGGAAACAGGCACTAGCTAGTCAACTCGTCATTTTAGGGCAGCTCACCGCGAGCCCATGAAAACCCAAGAAAACGGGGGGAAAACATAGAACAAACAACGCAAAGAAATTTGCATTGAGCAAGCAAAGCTCAATTCCGTTATAATATAGAGACAACAATGTACCTTGGAGGAATTTGTAGATCTTCCCATTGGCCATCATTTTTCATGATCTTCACCTTTGCAAATTGTGCTATGTCCCTATTTCAAGAGAGACAATAAACTTCAGATTCACTAAACAAGGTTTTAGAAAGTATAACCTTGTGGGACGGGGAATCTCTAGAAGCTCACCGTGCAGCAGATTGAGAACGAGGAGAAGAAAACCAGCCTTGTGAATGGGTAATCTTTGCATAAGTAGTCTGTATTTAGGATCAAGGAAAAGACAGAGGAATAAGTAGAGTTTCACACCATACATCAGAATTTAACAACACTATCCAAGCAGTTTTTATTTTTTGGAGAATTCCATGCAAGAAACTTTTACTGTATATGACGCACAGAAAAATGAATAGAACACCCTTATCAACAAACCAGAAACCTTTTAGTTTATGTCATGTATTATATTATTTAATAAATTATTATAAGTTTGTTACAAGATCAAATAATATTCATTAGTTTACTACATTATGCTCATGAATAAAAAAAGGGTTTTGCGGAAACCAAATACCTGATTAGTTAACTGATTTTTGAACTTTTCGGGATGCTGCTTTCGCTCAGTATGAAATGCATATGATACTTGAGCATCCATTCCTAAACACCACCACAGACATGTACGGTTCATTTAGAAAACACAGTTGAGTGAAAGAAGATATCAATCAACAATTAATCGGCTTATTTTGAATGCACAACGGTGGGACTTAAATCAACTGGCAAAAGGAGATATTTTCTAGAAAGATTAAGATATCTTTGCAAATTAATGTTCAAAAGACTTTACAAGACTCCAAGGGAAGAACTCTTACCCATACTGAAATAGTTCCAAAATCCCCCACGAAAGGTATGGCAGCCTTCCTGCGAAACACCAAAAGTTTTTGCCTATAAAACAGCACCCAAAGTTCGTATCTAACAAGAAAGAGAACAGCTTTGAGCTTGACAAAAGTAATGCAAGCATTTAAAAGTAACATTTTGACATGACAATTTGCAAAGAAAAAATCAGCCATCACAAGCTGGCCCAGCTCCTGAAGAGATAGCTTGACTTAGCAACCATCACAAGCTGGCCCAGCTCCTGAAAAGATAGCTTGACTTAGCAAAATAGCTGATTTTATCTTTCTGCTACTCCCTGAGACTGGTTCTTTTGTCCAATGAGCCAGATAAGTCAGAATTCGACCATATGGAGAATATGTAATTACCATGCTCAGCTCATTTGAATCAGAGACACGGCCAAATGCATGCAAAGAATGTGGTAGGTCAAGAGGCGCAATGGGATCGCACGGACCTTCTTTTGACTTCCTCATCCTCATGAGAATGTGCCAGCTATATCAGAATAAACAGGGAAAAATAAAATTAGAACTTCCAATTTTAGAAAAAATGAGAGGCAACTGGTTAAAACTAAAAAGAAAAATGCACTAATGACCTAAACGAGAATAAGAGTGAACACATTAGTCATAATACTTCATCACTCCAACATCTGGAAAAAGGTAAATCTAAGATATACCAACAACAAAGAGATGATTTAAAATGATGAGATCTGATCGTCTGAGATCTAGAAACAGGGCTGTGTATATACAGAACTTGAATTTACAAAGTTTAAGATGTAAAAAGAAATAATGATGACCGTCTAACCTGTCTATTTTCATTTCCTTGGCTCTCTTTACTTGGTCCAAAAACTGCTTCACAGATTGAGGATCTGTCCCAGGATTCTTCTTCCCCTGTGAATTAGCGAACATCATGTCATGCATGCACGATTTCTAGCAATCAACGGCTGCATTACTTACTTAAACCATAATAATCACAAACTACTTAAAACATTTAACCTTGAGTCAACTTTACATGGCAGAACGAGTTAGAATTTCTGATGCATATAGTGACTTGAATTAAGAAATGGAGAAGTTTTCTCCTGAATATGCATATCAACGAAAAAATAACTACCGATAATGCACACATCCAATATGATACATGCAATCCAAGACCATATATCCATCGACATAGGAAATTCCTTACCCATCCAAATGCAAAAGGAAGATTGTTTCCTGTTCCTAGTGGTACTGTTGCTATTGGTGGCGAAATGAGATAACTTGAGATCAGAAACAACTCCAAGAAGCCAACCAGCTGTTCCATCGCCACCTGCAACCTAGAGGGGCAATTCATGTTAGAAACATGAAAAGGTAACATCACACAAGGTCATGAAAAATAGAAAAATCAAACCATTTATGTTGATTTAGTTTGACTCACAATGATTCTCAATCTCTCTTGGATATTTGTAGCGAATTTATCCCCATTGCGCTTGAGCTTTTCAAGATTGGCATAGATTCGGCAAAGAACCTTATCCGGAGCCTCTTGCCCCAGATCATAAACCTAAAAATTAGCTAGTTCAAGGTCAGGTTCATAAAAACTTCGAACTAAAATCCAAATGTTATATTCAACCAAATATTCAAAAAAACAAATCTGGCAACATTCAACCCTGTAGAAAATACCTGACTTTCATTTAGAAGGGAACGGTATGATACAAGAAGATCCCCACCAAGCTGGCCACCACTTTTGGAGTTGATAAACACTAAAACCGGACATTGCGGTACATCAGCAACATTTTCACTCTTTGATTCAGGCACTAGTACATACTTGGGAATTCTGAAATCCTTCAAGAATTCCTCCCCAGAGTTCGAATTTGCCATTTTGGGTCTAACTGCATTACAAGATGATAATCAGTAACCGTGAAAAGAGCCGTTGTCTGCAACCAATTTGAACTCGGGTCCTCCCAAAATACCAAATTTCACAAAACTAATCCAATACCATACAATTTCCGTAGTGATTAGTCCAAGAATTTGCATTGGTGGTCATAAACAAGTTGAAAGATTCAGTCTTTGAAGAATAAACATACATCAAATGGCACAAAAATTAACTCGCAGAAAACCCATTTGGAAATAAAATAAGAAAAGTGCTGGAAATTCAATTTTGGCAAGACAAGTAAGAAAGGATGGAAAATTTACGTAGTGAGTTGAGGAGATGTGAGCATCTAACCATGAACATGAACCAAATGGGATTGAAGAAAAAGGGTATCTGAAATACCCGAAACCGGAACTGCGGGCGGAAAATTCGATGGCTTTCAGAAAGCTTTTCGGATCCAAAAGCGCAGAGGGAAACGCGGAATGTTTGACTAGTTCGTGAACTCAGAAAACTTTTATATCGTCGTGGAAACGTGAAGCGGGATCGAAGCCATTAAAACGTGATCGAAACTATCGCGGGGAGGGCGGAAAGTTCCATGGATTGGAATTTTTACTGCTGGCACTTTCACCACACGGCGATTTGAACGAGTGGGGATGAAGACAGCGGAAACCTTCAATGTTGTCTTTATGTGTTATACCGGATCATTCGTTGTCGTTATTCATTTGTGGTCTGACGTGCCAGATCCCCTCGGCAATTTGGTGGGGCCAGATGGACTGTCTTTCCCATCCTCTCTCTCTTTAGCGAGATGGCTGCAGAGTTATGGACGCTGCTAATGGTTGCTGCTGTGGGACCCCATCAATTGTGGGTTAAGTATTCGTTGTAGAGGTGTGATTTTTCAGTTTGACCGTCATATGTACATTACGTGTCTCTATATAAATGGTGGATTATATGTGTTAAAAGATTAATAATTTAAAAATTAAAATTTTTTAATAAAAACAAATGATATATCATCCGTGTTTTCATTATAACTAAAAATTTCTCAATGTAGAGTTGATATTCTGCTGGACTTCTCCTATCCTATATTCCTATGCAAAGCACAAGACTTCCATGTTAAGATTCCCATACTTTTAGGTCAATTTGTGAACACGTTTATAGAGTCCTATAATTCCCATACTTTTTGCAGGACTCGTTGTATACGAACGATTTGAAACGTTGAATTCTTTTTGCTGAAAATCGTTTAATTTTAAGTTATGTAACAACCCACGCTAAAATTTAAGTGTAAAATTACGAATTTGCCCATGGGTTGGGTTTTATCATTTGGTCCAATTCTTTGGGCTGTGCGTCAACAAGCCCAAAACCCAACCCATTATTCCTTCCCTCTCCCGTGACCACCCCACCATCTGAACACTTTCTCTCACCTCTCTCACAATTCACCTTCACCATTTCTGCAAACACCCCAACTTTTAGCCAGAGAGCCTTCGTTCTCACCATTTCCGTTTCCCCAGCTAATCGAACATCAAATCCTTACTTTCGAGTTCTCTGGGACACTAGGATTCCTGTGGTGGTCTTGCATGCATCATCGAGACACTTGGTAGTGCACTACCATTAGTACCCGAGAACCTTGAGTTCTAACTCGAAATTAGATTTTTCCGGCGAACCCGACGGCTAGGGAGCCAAATTCCGGCCAGCTCCGTCCACGGCCAACCTTCAAATATATTATGATTTATTTAAATTACGTTTTATGAAATGTTATAACTATTGATTTCACACTTAGAAAAGGTTTACGACTATTGCTTTTATGCACATTGAGATATTTCGGATTTATGAAAGATTACGGATTTGTGGTTTATGAGAATGATTGAGTTAGAATGCTTTCATGGTTTTATGTGATTTATGAGGCAAGGTTTTGATGCTTTTAAGCTCTAATGTTTTGGCATGATTTCGGAGATATGTTTTCATTGATACTAGTGGGTTATCATACGGCACATACATACAATACAGTTATAGTCTATGGCCATAGGACACAGATAAGAATACTTATGTTATGCCCCAACTTCACTGGCGAAACCAGTGTTAAACAGCTTCACTAGCCACGACTAGTGTCGATGTGTTTGCCATATATAGAGATATGTTTTCTTCTCCGGCATAACTCGAAGTCTTACGGTTTCACCTTTGGGTGATGGGACCTACCATGTTTCTTCACTGGTGTAACCCAATGTCATACAGCTTCGCCTTCGGGCGATGGATAGGTATTGCCTTCGAGCAACTATGATACACCTAGAAAATTTAGTTTTGATGGGATTTATGGTTTTACCTTCGGGCATTTCGAGATGCATGTTTTAGAGATGATTTTACGGTTACAAACTTTTCCAGCATGCTAGAGTTTTGGAAAAACCTTTATGTAGTATTATATATGTTTTCCAAGTAGGGGGTTATTATGTTAAAAAAGAATTCAGGTTTAGATATTATTAGTATGAACATAACTATGATCCACTCATCTTTTTTGTTTTGCGCCCCTTTTGGACCTAGTGACGAAAAGTACGACCCAAGCGTTGAGGCATTTCCCTACCAGTGACTTTGAGCTCTTCCATTTGCGTATGATTTTCTTGATGAATTGTAATCTGAATTCTTATTTGCACTTGTAGTTCTGTGTAGTAGTATGCTCTGGACATATTTTTGTTTCTTTTGTTTCGGATATGTGATCATTGAACTTTCTGATACCCTTATTTTTAATTCAGGATCTTGTTATTGTTTATGATTTTTGATATTCAGGTGCTGATATTTTCTTGTGTATGTATGAAATTATGGCTTTTGTCACTTCCGAGTGTCGGCTAGCACATGTCATCCAGGTATCATTAGGATTTATGGTTGGGACGTGTCAAGTTATATTTCAAACTTCACCATTTAAAAGGTTAAATAAATGCGAATACATTCGTGAATATAGTGTTGCTGAAAAGAAGTGATTGCTTACAATGTCACGTGTTATGAAGTTGTTTGGACCCATCTTTGACGCTTTTTGCGTTACATCTTGAATTAAGTCACAATCATCCAAGAACATTTTAGGATGAGATTGATTAAAGATTTTCAAAATTGAAGACAAATGCATCTTGAGAGAAATTTGTAGCGGAAAAGAAATCAAGGCTCAAGAGGCAATTCAAGGAAAGACATCATGGATGGATTCTCTCAATTACTATAAATGAAACCCTCTAGCTCATTGTTAGACGTCCTTACCAACTTGTTGCTGTCATCTTATTTTTTATTCAAAATGTAGTCCTACATAGTTTTTTATTTCAAATCAATTTTCGATTCCCGTAAATTATTTTCTCGCACCCAACGTAATCTTGTTTGTTTTTTTTTTTTTTTTTTTTTTTTTTTTTTTGCACTTAACGTAAAAAAATATTTCCTCACGTTCCAATTAATTATTATTTTATCGCAATTTACTTTCTTGCTATTTATTTTATCGTAATTTATTTTCTTTTATTTTATTTTATCGCAATAGGAGTATTGTAACGTAATTACTTAGCAATTCAATCAATTCGACAAGTTTGTTTAGATTGTTGCAATTCACCTCCTCATACATTCTATCTCACCATATCATTCACCAAATTCTCTTCCACCCATCCATTCACTCATCATGTCTGCACGGACAACATGTCACATCCCAGCCCGGGGGAGACCACTTCCCGAGCTCGACTCTACCGTAGCACGATATTGTCTGCTTTGGGCCCCAACCATGCCCTAACGGTTTTGTTTTTGAGAACTTACACGAGAACTTCCCGATGGGTCACCCATCCTGGGAATGCTCTCGCGCACTACTCACTTAACTTCGGAGTTCCCATAAAACTTGAAGCCAGTGAGCTCCCAAAAGACCTCATGCTAGGTAGGGATAGAAATATACATATAAGGATCACTCCTCTGGGCAATGTGGGATGTCACAATCCACCCCCCTTAGGGGCCCGACGTCCTCGTCGGCACACACGAGACCAGGGTTAGGCTCTGATACCAAATTGTCACATCTCAGCCCGGGGAAGACCACTTCCCGGGCTCGACTCCACCGTAGCACGATATTGTCCGCTTTGGGCCCCAACCATGCCCTCACAGTTTTGTTTTTGGGAACTCACATGAGAATTTCCTGATGGGTCACCCATTCTGAGAATGCTCTCGTGCACTACTCACTTAACTTCGGAGTTCCCATGAAACCCGAAGCCAGTGAGCTCCCAAAAGGTCTCGTGCTAGGTAGGGATGAGAATATACATATAAGGATCACTCCCCTAGGCAATGTGGGATGTCACACAACACCCATCTCAACGTCTATCTAGCGCATATCAAAAGTCCTTGCATCCAAGGCATGGAGAATCTACAACCGAGACAAGTTCCTTGTTTAGTTCCCAATCGTATTTGAAAGAAGTCAAGTCAAAGTGCTACTAAAATCACCAACTTCTTTTTACTCGCTTGGGCTTGGGGCATAAGTTGGCATACCCACAACACAAACTTGAAGGACTAAGAGATTCCGAAATCCTCGATTGTGCGACCGCGATCGATTTTGAGACCAACTGAAGCTTTCCTCAAGTTTACTTGGTCTCGAGATCTTTTTGACAGAAACCTTTATTCCGTGTATTACATGTTTTAGGAAATCTTTGAGATATAATTATTTCCCATTTTATTTTCCTTTTGAACTTATGGATTGCTAAGACATATAAATAACTTTTAGGGTTGTATTTTTACAATCTTTCAAATCATTCCTTATAAACTTTGAGGTTTCTCATGCTTCATGGATTCCGAATTTCATGTTCTCTTTATTCTTTATTTGTCACGCTGCATCAGAGTTGATCCCACTTATAGAGTGAAATCAGGCACGATTAGAAGGCAATAACAACCTTAATCCCATTTAATATCTGCAATCCAATCCCTCCACCCTTGGAACTTTTGAACACACTCTTTACGCAGATGAATTTGAAAGACATTAAACATACATGACCTTAAATACAGGCATATATTGGTACCAACCTATCCACTTCCATAATTTGAGTGTCATTTGATTCCCATGACACAAATATAAAATCAAGAATTTATGCAATTGGCAAGTTGAAACTAGCAAGTGTTTATAAAAACTTCAACTCTTTGTTACTTAGATTTGTAGCATAATTAACTAAGCTAGTCAAATGGCTTCCACACTTAAGGTCCTAGAGCAATGTCAGGTCTCTCCACCAAAAGATTCAGTTCCCACAACCTCTCTTCCCCTCACATTTTTGGACATACCTTGGCTTGTCTTGCTACAACCTGTTCAACGCCTCTACTTCTATGAATTCCCTCACCCATCTCACCATTTCACACAAACCCTCCTTCCATCACTCAAACACACTCTCTCCCTCACTCTCCAGAACTTCTTCCCGCTCTCTGGAAACGTCACTTGTCCCCCTCCTCCCTCCATGCCTTACATCCACTATGTCGCAAACACGTCTTCTGTCAAATTCACCATTACTGAGTCCGCTGCCAACTTCACCCATCTTATAGGCAACCACCCAAGACATGTCCATGAGTTTGATCACCTTGTTCCCCATTTGCTGGATTTTAATAATTTGGACTCCAATTCTAGTGACACAACCACATTTCTACTTCCTATTCTTGCATTACAAGCAACAATTTTCCCAAACTCTGGCTTATGCATTTCCATAGCATATCGCCACATTGTGGATGGACGAACTGCTAATCATTTCATGAAATGTTGGGCTTCTGTTTACAAGTATGGAGGAGACTTATCTTGTATACATGAATCACCTCCTATCTATAACAGAGATTTGATCAAAACCCCAAAAGATTATGAGCCCATTTTGTTCAATCAATACATCGGGTTGAGATCGACATGGAAAAATCTTGACACGGCTAAGTCTTCTTCCATTTTCATAGACAACTTTCGCACAACATTTGTGCTAGGAAGAGAAAATATTCAAAGCCTGAAACAACTTATCATGAATCAATGCAAGAATTGTAATGAGCCAACCCCAAAGCACTTGTCGAAATTTGTGGTCACATGTGGTTTTGTGTGGGTGTGCTTGATGAAGGCCCTACATGCTAGTGAAACTGGGGTGACTTCAATGAAGGATGATGACCTCTTACGGTTAGGGTTTGCAGCCGATATACGAAGCCTCTTTCAGAATCCAGTGCCCATCACCTATTTCGGAAACTGCTTGTCAGCATGTTATGTGGCAGATAAAAAGAGAGAGATCATGGCGGAGTGTGGGATTGCGAAGGCGGTGAAGGCCTTGGAGGCTGCAATTTTTGAGCTGAAAAATCGAGATCTTGAAGGGTTAAAGAGGATGGTTCCATTTCGAGGGGAGTTACCTGTAGCAGAAAGTAGTGTAGCAATTGCTGGATCGCCAAAGTTGGGAGTTTATGGGACTGATTTTGGATGGGGAAGAGCACAGAAAGTGGAGGTCGTTCACTTTGTTGATTCAACTGTTTTTTCTCTTGCTGAGAGTAGAGATGAGGAGGATGGCATTGAGGTTGGTTTAGCTCTACCGAGGACTACAATGGATGCATTTACTTCTTTGTTTGAACATGGTCTGAAAAATTTCTGCTAAAATACGGATGCTTTAATTTCATTTACATTTTAGAAATACTTTAGTGATGGGTACAAAAAATAAAAATAAAAGTAATCAGGTGATGCAATATTTTATGGGGGCATTTGAGCATGATCCTTTTGGATCGTCTCCTTGAGTGGAGTGTGGTTTTTGGGTTTTGCTTTCTTAGGGTTTTATATATGGTGGCTTTGGCTGTTATGGTGCTGTCGTCAGTGCCTCTCACGTTGGTTGGTGCGACCGTTTTCATAGCCGCGACTGTTAGGGTTAGGGTTTTCATTCCTCTTTTGTTGGGCTTAATGTTTAGGCTCATTGCCTTATGTTTCTAATCTGGTTTTGTTATTTGATAGGCCTATATTGTGGGGTTTGTTACTTGATAGGCCTATCTGTGGGCTCTATGGCTATTTTAGCACCTCTGGGTTCCTATATTGTGGACCTTAATATACTTGTATTGAGGCTTGCCTCTATTATGCCTCGTATGCATGTTCTTAATAAAATATTTTGGAAAATTGATCAAAATGATTATAATTTAATTTTTCAATTTATCATTATCGATAATATAACGATAAGTATTAATCATATGTAATGATTTATTATTGATATGATGAAAACGAATAATTTCATTAACTTGTAAAATAATCATTTTGATCAATTTTTGAAAAATTTCTAGCAAAAAGTACTTCAAATGCTAAATACATAATAAAATAATAAATCTTTGCTCTCTAATATTTGAGCTTAGCATAACCAATTATTAAGACAGAGCCTCGTGAATGAAAACAAAAAGAGACCGTCACTCACCCCAGCTTACGTTCAGCATGCCAGTATGGAAAATAAAAAACCAAAAAATAAAATCAATAGAAATTGATAAAGTACGAACATTTTTTTTTTTTGTCAAATGATAGATTTTGTTAAATTAGTCATCGACGGGGCTTGAACCCACGTCGTTATTGAAGCACGAACATATTGAAGCAAATAAAAAAATAGAAGGACAATAATAAGAGATTAAAAAACAATCTCACGTATCTCATACTTGTACTTAATTAATCAAATCAATAATTTGCAAACCCCCCTATCTCACACATGTTATTGTATTGATGCTCACATTTTCCCAGCATGCACAACACTAACCCCATGGATTAATATACTCAATATGTATGATGTCACTGTCAATATCATCACCATATATTTGAAGGAACAGCACAGTGCCCAACAAAAAAACAAAATTAAAAAGGTTGATGAACACCAGAACAACCACTAACGTCGATCATTTACGTGTAATTTTGCCATGCATTGCATACAATTTTGGTACCACAATTCTAATCCACATGTTTACAAGCGACAACAGCTGAGGCCTCATGAGGGGAGTCAACCCTCATGCAGATTGTCTGTATTAATCTCTGTATATACAATCCTCGCATTTGTAGTAAACAACTGGAGATTTCATACTGTCATACACAACAACTATAAACAATGTGCATGGACGTATAGAAAATTAAGGGATCGATCTCTGTGATTCTATTACTATTACGTCCACAAAACTTGGATCTCATTTCTCTTTTAAAAACAATAAATCGATCGTGCCTTCATAAGATACACGATAAGGAGAACTATTTGATATATATTCAAAGTTTGTTGGGAGTTTTGGAGGCCACGCATCAACAAAAGTTAGCTATCAACGATCATACGATATAATTAATTAACTACCAAATTTTATATTGTATAATACCAACCCTAGATTTGTGACAAGTAATTACCTAAACTGGTATAGTGTGTACGTCTAGCATAAGGCATGCATGAAGCTCATGAGCGTAAACCCTTGAATAAGCAATTATAGTGACGAAGGACGACTCGGAAACTTTCCACGACCACAGAAATGGATTTTTGATACATATGCATGCATGATCTAGCATATATAATTGATGCAATCACTTTTGGGCACATGTCCACAACCATAAAATTTTTATTTAAGCTCAATCGACTTCTAATCCGAAGAAAAATGAAATTAAGTGAGATGACTAACATGTATGTCTAATAGCCATCAAAAATTAAATTAAGTGATGACTAACATGTGTGTCTAATAGACCAAACAGGGGACAAAGTAAAATTATGGTTTGCTTAAAAATTAATTTATTTTGAGACATGCACTATAATATTGTAACGTATGATGTGAACTAAACTAGCTTCTTCTTCTTTGAAATTCAAAAGCTGATATCATATATTTGAAAATAAATGGTCCTTATATAGTTACATACGTATATTTTAAAGGGTGGAAAAACAGCAGGGCGAAGTTCTTGTTCTTCTAGATTTCTCTTTTTGGAAGCAAAGAAGAAAGATTTTGAAAATTGCAAAGAAAAGCAAGAAAGCCGCAGCAGCATTTTGACCTCTCACGGCAAAATCTTAGTAGATTAGTATTATATAAAATAATATTTTACCAATTTGGGTAATGTTAGATAGAGGTGGATGGACCGTGGCACCTGATTTTCAATGACTCAGAATTTTTATTTTGCAGACGGAGAGAGAGTACTTTGCCCAGCAAAGTTACTGCGCGCAGATGAAAGAACTGTACACTTGTGTCTTGCGCCCAGAGGACATATGTCAGTTTTGAGATGGCTTGATATGGGTTGAATTTGTTGTTGGAAAGTAGGAAGTACACCTGTCTCTGTTTGCTACGTGGCTTGATTTTAACGGTGTGTCGTAGAATGTATTCCAGCTTGGAAAGTTACCAACGGATCCTCTTTGTGAGGATGTTAGGCCATCTTCAACCGAAGGTTGGTCAGATAACTCGTTTTAACTTTCTAATCATTTAAGATATTAATATTTTAATGAATAGTACATAATCATATTTGTTTTCATCTCCAACCGAGGGCCAAACATAATTTATTATTTAAATTTAATGTTATTTAATGTTGTTTCATGTTGTATAATGGCTTAGGAAGTTATAGGAAAAAATAGAATTAAAAAAAAAATTGTAAAAAAAAAAGGGGCTTACCATTCCTTACGGATATAACCGACAGGAATAAACACAATGCTGTCCGTTATATCAGACAGGAATAATAAAAATCCAACCCGACCCGGGGCTGGTTGGATTGGGCCAGTCGGTTGGCCCTTTGGCCCTTTCAGATTCCTTGGAGTTCACGAGCCCTCTGGCCTAGCCCTTGGTTGGAGACGGTTTTCGGGCTATTTTCGGCTCTCTGGACCCTTCGGTTGGAGATGACCTTAAAGATTTGTGAATCGTGTCCATTCATCGTACATTGTGCGGTCATAAATTATTTTAAATATTTTTATTTAAAATTAAAAATAAATAGTACTTGACAAAAACTGACCACACGATATACGATGAACAGACACAATTCATTGATCCTCAAGATCCTCACCAAAAGATCTGGAGAGGATCCTGTTGGGTTACTAACAAGGTGAAGACGTGCGAACAAGATTGCACAAGCATTCTCGCAATGAATCGTCATTTTTTTAAATTTATATGGATAATTAAATAGTTTTTAAATTAAATGAATTTTTTAGAGCTGATTATTAGATAATGATACTGAGTGAATTTCGATTATAATTTACACGGTAAAACAATGTCACGTAAGTAGAGAATGAGGACTTTCTTCTTTACTATGAACGAAGAAAGTATTATCCTATTATTTACTATCAATCTTTAATTTTTTTTGCTTCGGGCCTCTGGTCTTTCCATTCCAAGAGGACACTTATATATCAATCTAATTAATTCATTTAACAATCAACTACGTATTTGTTTGTTGGTACTCAAACCACATTAAATGAGCTCTTAAGTTTGAGTTCTTGTATCATCGTTTGATAAATATACTACAACAAAATAAATTTTCATAGAAGTGTTATGTCCGATATTTCTTAGGATAAAAATGGCATGCATATAGACTCTATAGACATTATTAAATAGAAATGAAGGGATACAAATGTATGTTTGTTTCCTTCCATAGTGATGGTAGTATGGACACAAATCTCTTATATATAAAGGCAAAGCCCCAATTTAGGGTCACGACTTCGACAAAAATCATTAGGATCAGAATGCCTCTCAACCAAAAAAAAATCAAAAGCAGCAAAAAAGAATGCATAAAATAATGCAAGAATAATTTTGTAAATTTATTTGTTAATAATTTCATTCTTTCCTTTCGTTAGTGAAACGCATAAAAAGGTTAGGTTCCAATCAATCAATCCCAAAAAATGACAACTTTACCAAATTCGTCAACATAAAACTGAAATTTTGTCAATTGCTTGTAGGACCAAGCAGAGAAGTTATTTTCAATTATTCATAGTAGATTTCAACCAATCAATAAATTAATTGCACTTTTAGAAATAAAGGACAATGTTTTAAAAGATGGTCAAAATATTAAATATTATCATGAAAAGAAAAACACAACATCGATATCAAACTTCCACTTCTATCCTTTCATATATGTACTGTACCATTGATATATTTAACATAACAACTATCGAAAGAAAAGTGTATTTTAATTATACATATAATTGTGGAGCTAGCAGGCAGCAGCGTTGACAATGGTGATGAGAGCCCTACGTAAATAAAGTTATAAGCTTCGGCTTCCTAGCATTGAATCATTGATGAGCAAGTAACCTTAGAATTAAACAGAAAGTTGATAGGAAAATGATCAAACAGTTGATGAATACACGAAATTGCAAAACCAGAAGGTCAAGCTTTTCTTCTTGTTGATAGCAGATCTAACAACCTTACCGTCCAATCCTTTTCATGAGTACTACTTTAGCAAACTACAAAATTAGGGTTTAATCGTGGATAAAAAAAAGGTCAAACCCTTAAAGGCTAAAACCCAAAAGCCTAGTTTGATTATTATCACTGTTGTTACTTCTCCGGTGGCACAATTGTATCCAAGTATGATGCCCTTAAATTTACATGTGCTCAATCTTTATTTTTTTCTTTTTCTATTTATTTTTTTTAACGTAGGCTTACGACATAACTAAATTTTATACATATTGTATTCATATTCCAT